GACTGATAATTATCTTGTATGGCTGAAAATGGAAGGACAAGAATGCCCCTCTCCTCTCATGCTCATTTACCTTTTTGCCCTTGGATTATTGGATATGACTAAATGTGAGCCATTGGATTTGGATGAGATTGAACCTTGGCCCTTGAATTAGTATGATAATTAGAGGGGTAGTTTAGTAATTTTGTGGTGGGGTTTGGGCACCAATAATTGGTGCACCCCTTTTTATTTTATTTTCTCTCTCTCCCTCTCATAATTCTCTCAATTCTCTCTCTCTCCTCACCCCCACCGGCTGAAGCTCTCTCTCTCCCTCCTCTCCCTTGCGCGCGCCAAGCTTGGCCGGCCACCAGCTCGCCCAGCCGTCCGGTCGCCGCCCGTTCAGCCGTCCGCCGCCGCTGCTTCTTCTTCCTCGGCCGCGCCTTCACCGTCCGCCCGTCCCACTTTCTCTGTCTCGTCCTCCTCTGTCCGGTCCAGCCACCACCCGAGCCACCCGCGGCCGCCCTCCCCTGCCCCATACATCCCGTTCGCCGCCCCCAGCAGCCCGTTCGCCGCCTGTCCATGGCGTTGCAGCCACTCATCCGTCCAGCCGCCGGCGACGCTGCTTGGCTGCTGCTGCTAGTCCGGCTGTCCCGGCCACCTTTCCAGCCTGTTTTTCACCCCTTTTTAAGGTAAGTGACTTCCCCAAACCTCCCTTAGGACCTTGGGTATTGTTGGACTTGTTTAGGGCTCGGTTTGGGTATTTTAGGTGGCTGTTTTGAGATATATGAAGGGGCTGGATAATAGTTTGTTGTGGGCTGAGTTGATGAATGAAAATGTGATATTTAGGAGGCTTGGATAGGGCTGTGGTGAGGCTAAATGATCTTGGCTGAATTGCATGTTTGGTTGGTAGTTTTATGGCTTGAATGAGCTCATATGAGTGATGGTATGGCTTATGGTTATTGGCTGGTTTTTGAATGTATATTGGGCTGAGTGTGGTGTGACCGTGTGTGTGACCGAGTGCGGTGTGGCCGTGTGCCAAGTGTGTGTGGCCGTGTGCCAAGTGTGTGTGGCCGTGAGGTCGTGGGCCGAGAGTGGCCGTGAAGGTGTGGTGGTGTGACCATGAATGTGGCCATGCGGTGTGATCGTGTGATGGTGGTGTGTGTTCGTGAAATGTATGTTTGGCATGTGACGGTGTGGCCGTGTGGTACGTGTGGCTCAATGGTACGAGATGGTTTGAATGATTGGAAAAGTGGTACCCTGAGGCGTATTGATGCGGGGTAGGTTCCGTCCTGAGGCGTGTTACGTGAGACGATGCCGTCCCTGACAAGGTGACGATGCCCGGGCCGACTGGGTGACTATGCCTGACAGGGTCAGAAGACCGTTGGCCTGATGCGTTTTACGCGGGCGCGGTAGTGATGGAAAGTTGGGAATGAGCTGGACTCGGTTTGATGTACGAGACTTGTGAAAGTTGACGCATGGCGTGAGTTAGTGTGCGAGTGTGATTTGCATCGCGTGATGTAGTGCTTGACGAGTATGGACTGAAGTGAGTTGGTTGTATTATTACCTGACGTGCAGGGGTGTGTGTGATGGATCCAAGGTAGGATCGCATGTGACTGTTAGTATGATTGGTTGTTTGTGTTATGCATGTTCTTGTCTGGTGGTACGTGAGAGCCTATGTGGGGTTTGGGGTTGTGCACTTATTGAGATTCGTCTCATAGTTGTATAACCACCATTTCAGACCCCCAGCCATGAACCCCGGAGGCCCGCCTCCTTGTTTTGGGATCCCTAGACATGTGGATAATCAGGAGGTTGAGTACCTTTTAGGAGGCGACCGAGCTTATGTTAGGCACTCGAGCATTGTTTGGGTTGACGAGGGCAAATTCCACCTGAAGCTTTATTCGTACGTGGCGTGGACTTATCGAGATGGCTTAGAGGAGACCGGCCCGCTGAGAAGCTTCGACGTCCCCTTTAATGGCGTTGGTGAGTGGGACCCTTTGGCGAACGCCCCTCCCGATGGCGAGGTCATCGATCCCGAGTCTATGGAGTTTGATCCCGAGGAGTCCGAGGAAGAGCCGATGCCCATGGACGAGAAGCCCGATGAGGAGCCACCCGTGGTACCCCCAGTAGAGCCGCAGGCTGTGCAACCCGAGCAGGCGATCCCTCCGTACCGCGATCCGCGTATTCCTCCGAGGTACGAGCCAGAGGACTTAGAAGAAGAATGGGAGGAGGGTGATCCTTTGGCGCCACCGGGGTATTTTTAGGGGTTGTGTAGGGTAGGTCAGACCAGTCGCTTTTTGGAAGATAAGTCGACCCGTAGTGAAGCTAAGTTGACCCAACCACTCGTCCCTTTTTGTTGTGTCGGTGGTGTTTTGATGCTCATTTTGCTAAGCCTGTATGTAATGCCGTTTGTATGCTCAGTACGTTGGCAATTGTATAAAAGTTAATATTATTGGTTCATTGCCTCTCTTGTTGCCCTATTCCATTGTCATCTTTATCGTACGGGTGTTCTTATATTCATTTTCGCATGTGCTTCATATCGTGGGGTCGGTGACGTTTGCCTAGGACGACGTCTTTCATTACGACCTTTTGTGTGTGTGTAACAACGCGGGGTGTCGCGAGCTCGTACGGGGTCGAGGTGTGACAGGACCCATGCGCGAGTACTAGGGACTCAGGTACAAGCACCGAGGTCCCGAGTCGAGCCTTTGTGGACTCAATCTAGGGCGTCGGGGAGCTAAGCAACGGTACTGGAGTCCTAGGCCCAGCCACCGGCACTAGTGTCCCTAGCCCAACCTTTGTGAATCCAGGCCCGAGCATCGGGGTCCGAAACCCAGACTCGGCCTCAATAGACCTTGGTGGACTCAGCCTCGGCCTCTAGTCTTGGGTTTGCTGTTAAGGGCCCGGGAACAAGCATTAGAATTCCTATGCCCAAACGCAGAGCTTCTTATTCAAGTGCTGATATATAATCATATTTTGAAAAATGATTTTCGATTTTTTAAAGAGAAAATCATTTTCCTGAATTTAAGCATAAATTTCTATTAACTAGGAAAATATTTTCCGTTAAACAAATTGAGCCAAAATGGAGGAATTTTTTTTTGTTCACGCTATATCCACTCTTCCAATAACTTAAAACACATTCTATTAAGATTGATGAAAGAGGAAAAATATATCCTTAATGTAAATCAATTGATCCAGTAATTTTTATCGATCTTTCTTAAATTGTTGTTTCTTCTTTTCCTGTGCTCAAATCGGAGAAGTCTACATACCTGTTGCTTTTTTAAGATCATGATCTAAGATTTGAGTACTTTGATAAATTTAATGTTCGGATTCTAGTTTAAAAGAATATTAACAGAGGACATTCATTGACCGTGTCTCTCTAAAGTTCAATCCCTAATTACCCCTTATTATCTTCAATTCTTTAGTTCAAGCTTCATAAGGAAATTCTTTAATTTAGTTTGTGAACTCTTTATAATTATAATTTCGATTTAAGACGTGTTAATTAACAAAGATTACCGATAAGGTTTATACTCATTACAGAAAATCCTTCATAAAAATCAGCCGGAGCACATTGGTAAGTAGAAGAGAGGAAATGAAGTTTGTATAAAAACAAACGAAAAATAACATAAGGTGATGGAATAAAACATCATAGTTTTGATTAATACGGACAGTCTTATATTTTCATAACTCTGTGAGGTTTTTGCATTTTTAACAAATAGCAACTTTCGCCATATTATTTTTCTCGAGGTTATTTTCGTCAACTCAAAAAGGTATGGAGTGTCATAGCCATGTAGAGAATGAAACTCGCGTGAGGCTGTTTTTTTTTTCTCTTTTTCCTTTTGGGTCAAAGGTGGGATTTGATGGGTTATCGTTGAACAAGTGACTTGATCTATGAGTAGAACTCAATTCACTACCTAGCCAAAAGGGAGTCTGAAAACCAAAACCTTTATATCATCACTAGATATGTAATGTCACATTGGGAGTCTATTATGCTCTTTTTATATCACTACATGTTTCGTATCATATTCCCATTGCTTTTTCAAGGCTACAATCACCATTCTGAAAGGCTTTTGAAATGTAGCCTGCAAGAGGATGCAAGTACTTGCGAATGAGATTTCAGATATCACAAGTCCCAGTGCCTTATGGATAAAGACAGGGCAAGTCAAAGAAACAAAGGTAACTGTTCATTGTGTCCACTTTTATGAGGCAAGCAACATGGGACTGCCTCATGCCTGGTATCTGCAACCCCACCACAGATCTGGGCTCACAGAAAATTGTGGTTTCAAGGTATCTGAGCCCATTCCTTGGGATGGCTTCTCCAATGTCACTGTCTTCCTCATTGAGCACCAAATTTACATGGCATCTCACCTTTTGAAAATTATTCTATTCCTCTGTAGCTCTTTCAACATATTAGCTGATTAATTCCTGTAAATTCATTACCAAAACAAAGACCAACCCTTTCAACTTTGCTGGCAAACTGTCTTCCTTCCTTGTGATATTTCATCGAGACAGAGATATTGTTGCCCTGATTGATTCCTCTCTTATAGTGATTTGTGATAGGTTTTGGGTGTCGGAGTTGTTGGAGTGTCTGACTTAATAAAGATTCTGGGTCCCTTCAAGCGTTGACATGAAGCAGGGCCGATGAATATTATTGCAACCCAAAATAATAACCTTTATCTTCAACAGAATGTTAGATGCAATAGCAAGAGTAGAATTGCAGATTTTCGGAGTTTCCACATGTTCAATAAACTTTGTCATTATTGTTACTTAATTATCGGGAGCAATATTGAGGAGGAGCCTGCTGCTTTTCTCCCATCTCTGCTTCTTAATTACCCCCAATTCCAATTTCGAAATTTAACGACAGTTTTTTTAACTCATATGCCGATAGAAGAGAAGGGCCATTTAATGTTCAGACGCATAGCTGATGAATTTACAACATTCAGGATTGTGATGAGAAATACCAGAACATACTTAATGCATAACCTTGCCTGGCTTCACAATGCCCTTTAGGAATCCAGAACACCACCAAAGAAATAAGCATATTGCGGATAGAGAATTCGTCAGTGCTATCTAAATATACAAAATCTGTTAGCACTTCACAGCATCCTCTTCGATTAAAAACCCGAAGAGTAAACCAGTTTGTTTTCACCATCTATACTACTCTACATTTCTCTTTACTCAGGACAAACCAACTCTATTTTCTCCTCCAAATCAGTAGTTAGCCTAATTCACCAAGTTTCCAATTTGAGTCGATTGAACAAAGACCCTTCTCTGAAAAATTCATCTCTCTGACTTTAAGCGCCCTGCCAAGTGCCATAAAGGATAATTTTATCAATCGTAAAGCAAAGCTAGTGGAGTTTGTGGTAACATTAGATGACCTTCCAGTTACCATTTAGACCCAAACCGTCGACTCCTGAACTGGAATGGAAGGGCGATTGACCATGTGTTTGTAGCTCACTCTCACAAAAAGCCTGATGTAAAGAACATCAATCATTAATAGTCCTAGCGTAATTGAAAAACATGGGATAGAGATGGTCTAGATAGATAATCGGTCCTTTTTAGAGACCTGTGTTAAGGGAGGATAATTATGATTGGAGCTCGGGATGCTTGGAAAAGCTTCTGGGAAAAATCCTTGTGTATAAGGTGAAGAAGAAGCCATTCCACGCTCAGTATCCACAATAGTTGCAGAGCTACCCTGTAAGCAGAATATCTTTGCGAGAAGAAAAAGTATAACTTAGATTACCAACTATATATGCTGAATATCCTTAAAGCCCGAATATCAGTCTTAAGCATCATGTTAACTTACATCTTTGGACAGTATCCTCTCCAAGTTAATGCTCAGTTCTGGACTGACAGCAGCAAGTTTCATGGACAAAAACTGCGAAAGAAACTAACGTTGGTACTGGACATTTAATTCAATTTGGTCTGCTCAATAGTCAGATCTTAATACTTAGCATTAATGGGAGATTGAGTCTGCATATTCAAATAGAAAAAACGATAGCCCCGATGAAAACTCGTAGGATACAACCCACATGGCCTCATATGATCGCCATTTTTGGTATAGAAAAATTTGACTCGATGTCAAGATCACACAAAGTAAATTACTCTACGGAGAAACTTACCTTCTATTCAGACCTTTTATGCTCAATTCAAAGGATAATATCATCAGATAGCACATTATACCATTCAATGGTTTTTTTTAAAAGGTGCATGGTGTTAAACTCATTCAGGACTATACGTATACCAGAATAAGAAAACAGTTGGCGTACCTCAACCTGCTGTTGCAGCGACTGCACATAGTTAATAATCTCATCAAGCATTACCGCTTTTCCAGTGATCTGAGGCAAGTGAATCCCCCCCGAATCACTAACCATCTCAAGCAAAATAAGTACCTCAGAAACTAGAGCGACTCGATTACCTTGTTGCATCCAGGGACGAGTTCTTGAAGCATTCTCATCCGCTCACTAATTTTCTCTCTTCTCACCTGAAAGCAGAATGACCCTAGTAGGTTCAAGGCATACAAAAACCTGGCAGTTGAGACATTTGGGCAACGAAAGGTTTACCCTCTCCGCAAGGCTGTGACTGTTTGTAGCTTGGCCTCTGCGCGCTCGCACGTGAATATAGTTCTCTTTCGGAGCTTCAACATTGTCTTTCACTTGTTTACCATTTTGTTTACCCTGAGAATTAGGATACAAAATCTGCTCATTCTTCTGTTTCTTCTCGTCCCATTCCCTTGGGACATCTGAGTTCACCCTGGAAGGATCCTTTTTTACCTCCTATTCCAGATTAACAAACAAAGAGCAAGTTGTTTTACCGAGTCATTTGCACATAAAAGGACAGCAACAAAAAAACATCAAATGTTCACACTTTTCACATTAACACCAGATGACTGACCTTCCTATCATAAATGGTATCATGATCAGGAGCATTTTTTCTTCTCTTGACGCTCGGTGATGATCGCTCCGCATCCTCTTCGATCTGGCATCCCTGAGACAGTTTATTGTTAGCCGAGGCCCCTTCACTACCGTCATGATCATCCTCCCTATGAGAGCCATAGTTAGGAGGACACCCAGAATTAGCAATGTCAGGCAGCCCAAAGTAGCCGACCGCATCCAGGTAACTCCGGCTCTCTGAGCAGGGAAACCGTGAAAATGAGACCTGCTCGGTCAATGCCGGTAGGTTGTGACCGAGCGGAGGAGGAAAGTCCCCACCAGTTCCCTGATTTTCCATGATGCCGGGGTGTGAAGAAAGGGGGAATCCAGAGGCCAATGAAGGATTTGCAAAATTGTAGCTCTGAGTTAGGGACACAAGTGGATCCCAACCAGAGCTAACAAAAGGGTTGATTGCCATTCCTGAGACTTCTTCTGGGACTGAGCTGGGAGTCATCCCTGAGTGTGGAAAATTCAAGAAATTGTCACCCCCATGTCTGACCCCGATATCACCACCGTCACAGCCTTCCATCTTCAGAATTGAGGCACAATAACCCAGGAACTAAAGCAAGTCTTTTCAACCAATTTCAATAAACCAGCAAAGGTCACCACCATAAACTAGGACTTGAGGATATATAAGACACAGAGAAGCTGAAGAAGAGTGAAAAGGTATAACTGGGGTTTGACCAAAACCAGCTGGTGATATCTTGCAGGACTCAACAAGGAACACAATGGACTTTGTCAGCTTTATAGTACTGGGGTTTGGTAAAGCAAAAGAAGTCTCTTATTTGCAGCATCCCGCGAAGCGCAGTGAAAAAAAAGGACATATCCTATCTATCAGGCATAGAATCTACAGAGTACCAGCTATTTTTCCCTCTTTTTCAAAACCTTCTCATTGAGCCTACTCTTATGCCAAAGAAGCAATGACAGAGAAAATGCTCATACCCTTAATAATTATAGACAAGAAAGTGAACCCGTAAAAGCAGAAAGTAAAATTTGGAGGAGCAAGCAACACTAGTCCCAGAGACAGCTCCAGACCAACCAAAAAAGAAAGCAGATTCCCTTTTCTCTCAGTTGAAAAATAATTAATACATCCAACACTTCATAGGCCAGAGTCGTTCAGGTAACTGGTATGAAATGTTTTTGACCACACTACGCCCAAACTGGGACAGAATCACTTCAACCACTGGACGGTGCAGATTGGTGCTTAGGACTCGGGAGGAAAAGGCTCATCGAAGGCAGTGACAAGTTGAAGTCTCGAAGCAATACCAAAAGAACACCAACGCTGTCAAAAAAGGGCAAGTTTTGCAGACACCCTTTTGAGATATTCCCAGATGGGTACCTAAAAAGGCTAAAAAAGCATCCAATACTGTGTGGATTGTATCATGTAAGGACTGAAATTATTCAGTCTTTCAGCTCACTGTCCTCCTAATAAGGAAGCGCATCTAGTGCCTTGATCTAAATCTCCAAGAAAAGACCCACATCGCTAAAAATAACACAGCAAGAATCAAGTTCCAAACTTCTGTTGATCACTAACAGTGTTATAGCACCACAAAAGGTGAAGAGTGAGAAACCACTAATAAAAGAAAGAAAAAGTGCCCGTAAGAGTTGAGACGATCTCTTACCTGCCCACGCAAAGAGGTGACATGTGTGAATTTAAAAGACAGACTTTAACCACTGCTAACTGCTCCTGCAGGGCAAATTATTATCACCAGATCTTAATCACTTTTTTCAAACCAGTTGCTCAAGCTTTTCTTTTGCTTTATCCCGGACAGAACTAGAAGATAGCTGGATAGGTGCTTCTCTTCAAGGCCAAGCCAAGCTAGCTTTTGCTTGCTTGCTTGACATGCTTTTTCTTTTATTTTTACTGACACAATCTGCCAACTTATTCCAACACATCAATCTTTGCTGTTACACACTCAATTTTTATTTTTATTTTTTTGCGCGAGTGCCAACTAACCCACTTCATTTTTTCTGGTCTAGAACACTCATTATGCACCTAAGCTCAATGATTCCCCATGTGCCCTATTGTTCCATCTATGGCACAAGGGTTTATGATGGCCCCCACCAGATCCTTCCTTCCAAACCAATCAAGATGTGGATTTATGCATGTCCCGATGATTTTAGAATTAGGACAAGCCTGAATGAATTTGTTCAGAGAAAGAACAAAATCTCATGTCCATTGCAGTGTGATAGGAGGTGTCTTTTAGTCACCTCTTATGACAGGAGATGATATTTGAAACTTTGATTTGTAAAAATATCTAATAAGAAGCTCCTCTCAAAGAATAGAACTTGTGGGAGTGTGCAAAAGGTGGCAATGCTTGGTGGACAGGAAAATTGTCCAAAATTCTTATACCTATTGTACATCAGTCATTTCAGTTCTAAATTTAATTTTGACAAATCATTTTATGAGTTTAAAAATCTTATCAAGAAGTACATAAGATCCATCAACAGGCTACAACATTGATCTTGATCTTATGAGTTTATTCAAGACACGCAAATTAATCCGGTTTACCCTCATCAAGATTTCAACAAACCATTCGCAACTATGCTCGACCAATCTTTAGAACTAAGCGTCGTGATTTTATGAGCCAGCTGTAAATGAGTTTAGATGCAGTTTTCTGTCCCTTCATATGATATTAAAATCCGTTCAGATATTTGCATTACAACATACAAGTCTGGTGTGATGAGGATGCTGGACAAGTGTAAGGTGTGGACAGGATCAGAAACAAGGACAATCACCTAATCTTATGCAGAAATGCAGAGTATGATTTCTCCTCCTCCTCCTTTTTTAATCTATCCCAGTACAGGTGTTTAATGAATTAATTACAGTTTACAGCTGCAATGGCTTTCTTTTCTTTTCACGAAGAAATTGGTGGCTTTTGTCCGGGAGGAGCAGATGGAATAATGGAATCCACCATTTTGAATGACCCCCTTGTCCCCGTACGATCTCCACCAGCTGTAGCACGTTCAAAATCCAAGCCCCAGACCAACTAACATGGTCAAAGCCAAAGTGTCCTCAGTCCACACGAAGCGCTCTCTTGGATGGGATTATGCGGGACAAGATGAGATCCTGCGACATCAACGCATAATTAATTCGTGTGGAGACTCTCTCTCTCTCCCCATGTAATCATTATCAACCGTGTGGGTTGTGGGAAGGTGTAGTGCGGTGTAATCCAAAGCATGCCTCGAGAAGCGTTGAAGAAACACTTGCCCTCCCATGCTGGTGAAACTATAATTGTTTTACCAAGTTCGAGTCCAACTCAATTTCAGCTTTTGCATCGCTAGGTATCGAGCTTCCATTGCGATTTCTAATATATTAAAGACCCTCTTTGCTAGATGTTGAATTCTTGTTGTTTTTCAACTTGTTTGGAGGGATTGGCCGTCGGTCTACCGTACATCGACCTAGATAGTCCAAATGGATAAATGACTTTTTATCGAGTTTGAAGATTAAACATGTTGAATTTAACTAAAAGAAAGGATCTTAGGAGATTACTAGTTTCGTACATTGGGCTGTAATTGGGAACCATCTAAATAAATTATTGTAGGGCCTTGAATTTTCAAAACTAGATAGTCAAGTATCGAGTGCCCACTAAGTTTCTATAATCTTCCTCAATCTTTTAACTCCGAACAAGCTTCTAACCAAAGAAAAAAACCTCTGAACAATGTAGCAAAGTTGGTCAGTTTTGAAAATTAGAATAGTATTCACTAATTTCGTCTAATGAGGGTGCAAATGGGTCGCACAGGCTACGTCTCGAGGAAATTTGTACCCGGCCCTAGCAGACCTAGCCTGAGAAAAGAAAAATGGCTTGGACCATAATTAATTGGTTAGGTTCGTGCTAGTACGAGGTTTTAACCCGAAATTTTTTATTTTTGAAATTAGTTTTTCAAAGATATCTAATGTTATCAAATGTCAAGACTCAAATATACAATTACCAAACAACTAACATAAATTTACTTAAGTTAACAAATTTCGTCCAAGAAATTAAACTCGCGCATTATAAACTTAACATAACTTTTTATGGCCCATTTTAAGTTTGATTGTTATTATTTTTTATAACTTTATGAGGTTTATAAATAATAAACGACTAACCTATCAGTAGAATGATTAACTTTTGGTGTCCTTTAAAAAGTTGAAACTTCATAAAATAAACTTGAGTTACACCACTAACAAAAATTGTCCGTGTTCCCTCGGTTCAAAACCTTATTTATTTACTATATACTGATTTTTTTTGGTCGAAAATTTATATTGATTTACATGGTGTTCTTTCCTACATATAATTAGAACCGTCAAGCAGGTGGATTGGGTCAAATTTGGTTGGGTCGAATATAGTCAGACCCAAATAAACCCACTTAACCGGATTTGACCAATTTCCATGTAATGCAAATCTAACGACCCATACATAACACATACTTGACTTGATCTGTATTAGTAAAACACTTCCATATTCAACCTAATTTACGAAAACCCATATCAAAGTGAGTGAGCTCGAGATCGAGTAAGGACGTGAGAGAATGAAAGAGAGTCATAAAGGTAGATTGGATCGAAGTAAGTTTTAAACCCATTTATAACCCATTTAACACCAATAATATTTAAACTCATTTATGACCCATTTACCAAATATAACTTACCCATATAACAACTCAACCCATATATGTGGATTAAAAAATAGGTTTATAACCATTTTGATAGGTCTACATACAATAATAACAATTATTGGTTAAACCTTTAAGTAAAGTACGTTGAACATATAGCCCCGTCCATTAGAATTTGGGAAAATTATCCAATCAGTTCTAAACATAATGTGCAAATGCTAATTTAGTACCAAACTTTCCAATTTAATCCTAAACTTTTGCGCGAAATTCAATGTAATCATTTCGGTCAATTGTTGTCGTAAATCACTGACATGACGATTTAGTCATCCCACATGGCACACCACCACGTCAGCGATTTCCGGCAAAAATTAATCAGAAGGGTTACATTGGGATTTCGCACAAAGGTTCAAGACTATATTAGCAAAATTAGAAAGTTTAGGACTCAATTGGCATACCTACAATAGATTTAGGAATAGAATTTTGATTTCGCGGCCAATCTGACTCACTTTTAGAACTTTGAGGAGTCAAGATAACATCAAGGGAAAGAAAAAACATCTTCAAAGGGCATTTTGAACCAAAGCCAATAGTATTGAAAATTGATATCAAAAGGAAAAATCACTGCTTCGACATGTTCTACGGGGCAGAAAAAAACAAAGAGGAGAAAAGAGAGAAGCTAGATCATGAGAATGCCATCGGCTCTGCATTAGACAAGAACATTTTCAATACTGCAATCGATGGTAAGTGCTGAATTTAAAAAGAAAAAGTAGGGGTTGAACATCGTACGGAAGAATCCGAATCGCCATGAGGTTCCAATGAGGTTGAAGCAAAGCGAGCAGCATGCGCAGGAGATGTTCAATCATGATCTTGGTTCTTTGCTTGAGTTTCAAACTCCATAAAAATTTGGGGGGCATGCACGTACAGCTAAAGCCTGTATGTGGAAACTCAAACTCATCATGCACGCCATACATTCCGGAAATAAGTGGGCTCAATCGGCGCGATCATGCTCTGAGCCAATCGTATTCCCCAAGTATGATGAACTTTCACCGGTTTCGGACGAATGCAAGATGGGGAGAAATGGGCGCGACCTCAACAGTCTAGGTTCAGCACTTTCCATTTTCGTCACTCTAACTCTTGGGTTCGAACCGAACCGCCGTACTCGCATGTTCTCTCAGGTCCATTGTCAACAATACCGCATGTTATCGATAATCACACGGCCTGTGTGAGAACAGGGATTGCCATTTCTGCTGGGAATCAGTCGGACGTTTGTTACTTAAATAGTCTCGTCCAGCTCCATTGATACAAAAAGAACAAAGAAAAAAGAAGAAAGACAATACTAGATAGGGGTTCAACGGAGTGACTGCTACAGTACTAGATGATGGTGATTTTCATGCCAGTGGGGGTCTTTAGCTTATAGCCATTGGCATTATGGGCCTGATACAATTGGATAACCCGATCCGAGGGAAGAAGAAAGGGGGAAAAAGACTAAAATTGGGTAAATCGGATGGGTCGACCCAACCCGCCCTTTAAGTAATTCGGGCTTGGCCCAGAATACGGTGTGGATGGATGCTGATGGCTGAAGAAGACTTTCGGCTAAAGGCTTGTTGAGAATGAGATCTCACAGATTATGCTGCAAGAGTGCCATTTGCTGATCACTAGCAAACCCGGAAGCGAAGGAGCTGCACTAATAAAATTGAAAGGCGAGCAGCAGAGTCAGTGATGGTAAATTAGTCCAACGCCAACGAAAGCTAATGCATTGCCTTGAGTTTGATACTCGTAGTCATACAATGCCCGCCCCATAGATAGCATCAAGTCGCGTCGGAAGGCGTATTGCAATGCTTACCTCGATCCCATTTTTCACCATCTTTGCATGACATTAAAGTCCCATCACCGCTGAGCGCAGGGTAAGACTTCGAGGCATTGCAAAATTTGATGTGTTCGAACAGCTCATGCTCTCTCATCTCCTATTATTCAGCTTCACATGCTGTATTGTTCAGATTGTTCACGAGTCTCATTCAAAGTCATGAAAGAGTTTGGAGTTTTGTTCTCTCGAATTATCATTCTCAGAGACGTCCCTCGTGCTGGCTATACAGAATGAACTTACTACTTTCTTTTCTTGTTATGGTGCTTAGACGAGGTGATCATGTGCATGTGCTTCTTGTAGCGCATTCGATGGGTGTCCGGAATTCGCTGATCAATCTAAAGTCAAGGCGTCCATTTTGCTACAGATATGTGAATGACAAACTGCGTGTTTCTTGGTCTCGCTAATTGAACTTGTAACTGTCAATACAGATTTAAGTGTTGAAAACAATGGCAATGAAGATTAAGTTCGTCCTTCCCCACCAACTAAAGGTTAGCTCGTCTTAGCCATGCCCTGTTTGCTTTGCTGACAAATTGATGCAGAACGGCCCGAAAACTTTGGCTCATTTTACTGAGGCTGCAATAGCTGCTCTCTTGTTCACACCAACACCATTCCATCGTCGGCAACAGCGAGAGCACATGTGATGCAGTCCTTTTTCCTTCTCTCGGCACTCCATGTGTTTTCAACTCGGCATTCTGTTTGAGCGGCGGATAGTCTTGAACGCAAGATAAGAACTCGAAATCACGCGCTGAGCTCCAACTTTTCCACAGGCCCTGTACAAGGAAAGATCATTTTCCTTATCGTCCATATTGCTTGATACGCTCATATTGATCGCCTGATGTGACTCGCCCATTAACTTCTACCATTTTGTTTTTCTGATGTCCAACCTGTCAAATGACAAGGTTGTAATCATATTTGTTGACTGCAACTCCAAAGGATTCGATGGAATTGACATTAGTGGCATTGCTTTTCACTCTTTAAAAAATCCACGGGATGTCCTTTTTCTTCTTGCACAGTGCGCTTTTCCATGAAGTATGCAAATCTTTTTGACCATTAATCTCCAAAATGTGGCCTTTTTCTTTGTTCTGATGTGCTGTGGTTGTTGATTGTGTTCCCCCTTTATATGGTACTGCTTTTTCCTAAGTTCAAATAAGGTCTTGTTTGTTATGTTCCCTCCTGACTTTTGACATTTTCCCTGGGGATTTCATCTCTTGAGTAATGACATCATGCAGTATGTGGAAATTTCTTGTATAGTTTGTCCGTTAATTATAGAATAGTCCGAGATAATCATATTATCTCAAACAGAGACCGTGTAGTTTGATCTAATGATGTAATTGACATAAATAAAATTGTCAAATGTCGTCGGTTAGAATGAAAACGATTCAGATGAACATATTAGACAATCATTTCTTGCTTTTCCTTGTGATTTTTCCAAATTTTCAAATAGTCAAGATTCACAATTGAGTACAGACATGCGCGATAGCTGTGCACATGCAAGGGTCGTTTCAATCGTCCGTACAGGACATTTCATTTCACTTATCTCTCTCTAATCGCAATGGCAACAGTTAAAAGACACAAGGAACATGATACGTTCGCAACTGTAGTAAACAAAGTGCTAATAATTATGACCACGAAATCCTAAAACAAGCTTAAACAGAATCTCCATATCCAGAATTCTGCGATAGGATTGTAATCATGTTGGTGAAGTTCGGATTGAGAAACAGAGAGTGAGATTGCATGGTCAAAGTAAAAAGCCTTTCTCAGCATATGGAGGAGCATTCCCAGTGATTTTGTACTTAGCAGGACCTCAATTGAAAAGCTCATCAATCATGCAATTGCCATTAATCATTAGCTCTGTGAATCTCTGTCTAACCACTTCCCTCCAATTTGCAACATCTCAATATTCCCGACACAAGCCTTTAACTTTCATGCTTTCAAAAAGTTTCCTTTCACCTAGCTTCTCAGGCTTTTAGCTTTTCCATTCTTAGTTTCACTACTTGACCAACGGATATTCCAGAAGCACTAGCTAGATTTCACTCGATGCTGTAAAAACTGGCGACCGGGAACCGGAGATTGGAGCCGGAATGAGCCGGGTTGAGTGCAACCAAGAGCTTATGCAGCCTGGAGCATTAGTAAACTCAGGAACTGATACAGGCTTTCCAAGCAGCATATTCGAGCACGTTCTATCAGGGGCACCATCTTGCAAGCTGCCTAGACTGGTGACAGTAGAGGATGGATCTGCAAAACTAGCACGTCCTCTATTCCCCTCATCCGAAATGTGCTGCAGCGCCATAGACAATGATGAAATTTGGTTACTCCTGGCAAACGATTTCTGATCTAGTGATTTAGCAACATCATCGGGTTGTCCCCGAGGGGACTCGTGTAGAACCATGTTCCAGCCTAAGCCACTCCCGTCGATGCTCTCAGGCCCGTTGGCTTCACCACTAGTGAGATAGCCCATGTCATATCTTGGTGCAGCTTCTTTGTTTCGCCTCACGAGCTCTCCTGCGAGAAGGGTATTGCTGGTCATGATCTTCTCGACGTTGTACCTCGACGAGTCGAAATTGGTGACTGCATTCACACCCCGAAACTTGATGGCTGCTATGTCGTACGCCTCAGCTGCTTCCTCTTGCGTGGCTGATTTAACGGAAAAGTTAGGACGTAAATCAAATGATGCCCTTAAAAATGGTGCTTTCAGAAAACAATGATGATGATTGCCAATCCTTCATGTGTAGAGAGCACAGCCTATAGCCCTGCCCTATAAAAGTTACATTGCCATCTTCATCTTTATAAATCTTTTTCTTTTGACAGACGAGTAGAAAGAGGCAAGAAAAGAAAAATAAAGAACCAGTCACTGATGCCAAGAAAGAGAGCTTCATTGAATGAGCGCCATGTGAAAACTGACGACAGACCGTTGAACAGAAACAAGAAAACAACAAGAAAACAAGGACCGTTGTAAACATAAATTGAATGCCGTGGAACAATCGGGAGAGCTTACTAGGTAAAGAAAAGAGGCAGCCCCTCAGAAGCAGACTAATAATGTAACTTTGAGAACTTACTGAATGTCCCAAGATAAAGATCCTTGTTTCCAGTAACTCTGCCAATTCGAGCTTGCCATCTTCCATGCTGGTGGTGTCTGTTGGTACCAAATAGCCGAACGGAATGTTTTTTAAGAAAAAAATAGGACAAAAGAACCAAAATAAATTTTCAACAGATAGTAGAACAAGGCAAACCTTGTCACTCCTCGGTATATTGAAGCTCCCCTTGAGAATCCACTGCTTCTCCTGCATTATGTATGCAATGGTCAATGTCAGTCACAAACAGCCAATCTGAATAAGCAAATTTCGGGAGAGAGACAATGGGCAAAAAGATTTACCTCCTTAGGTGGGCAATGTATTCAAGGCGGCTCATTGTCTTCATCTCCTCGAGTTCTTTCCGATAATTTTCTAACTGCAATAATTCCACAAAAAGACTATGGCATCTTGCTGTGATAGCTGAAAAGATTTACATAATGTGGCAAAGTGGGACAGGGCATTCTCATACCGAAAAATTTATGTGAGTCGAAGGTCCCCAGTATTTGAGGGCGGCAAGATCATACGCTCTTGCGGCTTTCTCTTCCGTATCATAACCCCCTGACAAAACCAATTAGGAAGTGATGCACAATTGCTGAAGAAACAAAGATTATCCATCAAATATTTAATGTCTAAATCTGGTCTCAATTTTTAGAGAAAAGGTCTTACCTAAGTAAACTGAGGTGCGACATTAATTGCAATTGCATTCCCAGGGAGCATACAAACAAAGAGCACCCAGTCAAGCTCATGAATATCAGAGGGACCACGAATTTCAGTCAAAAGGGAAAAGGCCAAACACACACATGCTTATACAATGATTCAGCTTTTCGGAAAGAAAGAGGAAAAAACCAACCTTGCCTTCCTTTCCTAGACTGTCCCTCCTTCTTGCAACTGTTATCCCAAAGATGAGCTTCGTATCTACCGGTCCATCTATGCCTGGTGAAGAAGATTAATCGCACTTGTAAACCACAAACCAAGAACTAGGAAAATGAACCGACGAGCTGAAAGATGGTTCAGTAAGGAAACAACAAATGCATCATTTACTCTCCAAATATTTCCTTCCACAAGAAAGCGCAGATTGCATCAAGAATGATGAAGGGTTCATCTTGAACTAACAACTGTTGTGCACTTAACTTCGCTACAAGTAGCCAAAAAAAGAACACAAAACGCCCTAACCTTGTAACTCCTCTGTACTGAGATGTCCTCTGGCCAAATGTGTCAATGGACTTCCTAGGCACAGGCAGCTTTTTGTCCGCTTCTAGTGCTCTCTTCCTGGTTGCTATGGCCAATGACTCGGTGTTGATGGCTGATGAGAATTGCCTTGGAGCTGTAAGGGAAACACAACCGGACTGAATCGGTGAATAGAAACCGCCAGATTCTTTTCCATTCACACTCACACTCCCAGAGACTGCACAATCATCAACACTGACAATGTTTCCCAAGCGAGACATGCCATTTGTTTCTTCCTCCATTGATGCTCTGTACACTAGCTCAGAGTATCCCAACCGGGCTTCCCCATCTTGTCTTCCATTGTAGTGAACTCCAAGAAAGTCCTCTAGCTTTGGTTCTGAACTTGGCATCATTCCTGAAGACCAAAAAAAAATGCCCATAAAAGGACAAGAATTTGCCAAGGACGATAAAACTAAAGCTATAAGCCAATCTTGGAGCAGAAGCATTATCACATTTTATTGTTGACAAAGACGAAGAAAAAGCACCTTCTGGCTGTGACCTAGTGAGAGCTTCGATGAGACAAAGAGACCCATCTGACTTGACTGGCATTACACACAATGGCGAGTGAAAGAAGCCAGCATTACCAACTTCTCCAACCTCATAGGAGAGGCTGAGAGGAACCGAACCAGAGCCAGTGGTGACAGAAGGAAACTGGGTTTGGAGACAGTATGGATGATGATGCTGGGGTTGAGATGAAGGAAAGTCCATTTTCAGGTAGGAGGATTAAATGTGGGATATCTTCTATGAGGCTGGTATTAGAAGTATCTACATCTGCCAGAATATTCAATCATTGGGGAGCTAACTAAAACTAACTAATCATTTCAACATCTCCTGCTTCCCTCTCCTTGGTTTTTTTTTGGCATTCAACAAAATATTTATGGAACTTGTTACTCTTCAACTAAGCAAAGCACCCAGAATCTCTCTCTTTCTCTCTCTCTCTCTCTCTCTCTCTCTCTCTCTCTCTCTCTCGAAAAGGAACAAAACTGGTCCCTTAGGACACCAGCAGGCAATGCTCGGGAGATGGAGAGAGTGCGGTATATTTAATCACCTATATGTAACTTTCATAGGGATCTGTGACCACAGTTAGAAAGAACAAGGGAGACATTTGGAATGGGTTCCAGCCAAAGCTTTTTCAAGTTCCACTTTCACTGAAAATTTGGAGGGTAGTGTGTTTTGGTTGCTCATAAGTAATGGCTGGCTCCCCCCTTAGTGTCTTTAAATTACAAGGTTTCTTCCTAGTTGAATCCCGCTTTATTTAATTTAGTGTGCTGATGGGCATATTCGAAATACTTGTTAAGCATATTTATTGAGGTGATCATGTTATCGGATGCTCTCTAGATCATACTAAATAAGGAATACTTCAGTCTTTAAAGTTATATTTAAACATAATATGAGGATAGTCGGTGCATTGAAATTTGAAAGCAGCAACTTCTTTTATTTGATTGTTCAAATTCTAAAATTTTGAGCTTTATCACATTTCTCTATTTGAAAATTTAATGAATATCTTGAAACACTGGTTAAGAGAATTCTCCGTACCATTTCGCGTCACTCTCCCTCTCACTAACTCTCTTAAACATACACATTCAATGACAACAACGAGGGGGTGAGAAAATGCTGTATGGAGTGGGTGGATTACACCAGCGGGAGAGACAGGGAGGACACAAGTCAAAATGGCAGATTTGCTTTTATTCACAGCGACAGATTTTGAGGGACCGAAACTGACCATTTGGCGCCTCTTTTGTCAATTTCTTCTGCCCCCTGCCTCTGGCTGGGCCATCCGAGCAATTCTTGCATTCTCCTTAAGGATGTGACTCAATCACTAAATCCATAGAAAGCAAGCTCATATGGTCCGGGACAGAACTCAAGTGGACTCACATGCACCAAGAGCTAGTAAGAATTTTTCAAGACACTCCCCAGTTTGCCTACTTCACATGAAGACCTCTAAGGCCTCCTCGTCGATTCATTGAGTTCGATCCATTGTGCCCCTTCACTTTATTTTCGAAGTTCCAATTATTTCGATAATTCTCTAGTGTTGGTTTGAGGCGTAGGAGCTTATCCAATCGAATCTCACCAGCTCTATGCAAAGCATTCCGGGTAAGGCTATCTACACAGACCAACGCTGAAACTTCACCTGTATGGGAATCCAGTTAGTTGGTCTCCACATCCATGCACCTTAATTATATCAAAAAAGAAAGAAGAAAGTTATTACGATAGTTGATAGTGTCAACGTCGACACTATTTTATATCGCATGATGGAAGCAAGACACTTACAATTAGCTATGCACCTTAATCGATGGTATTTTATTAGATTATCTCGATAAGACAACTAATGTGCTGCTTTAATTTCCTCCATTAAATACTCTGTTTTTACTGCAATTTTCGGTTTGTCCTTGTGATGTTGCTGATGAAAGGTTTCAGGAGAAAAATCCATGAACGCGTGAGTGCATGGAGTTCTGCATGAAAAGGTTTGAACGGGGAGACAGATTTTCCAACATGGAATGATGAAATGGGGGCAATATTGCATGATCTTTGAAATATGGGAGGGAAAGAGGGGAAGTACGAAAAGGAAAAGAGAAAAAAAGGGGTGTGTTGCACGTATTGATTAAATTGCAATGATGATCGAATCCATTACAAACAGTGAATTGGCCAGGCCACTTGGAAACTTTCTCTCTTTTAACCGCACTCGTTACGTCTCAAGTTAATCATCCTTTCCACGAGATCCATCTTCGTCAGTGGATAAGCAAAAATGGTGGGGTTGCCAAAAGAAAACATTTTTGGCTCTCTTTATAGCTGTTGGAGGACAGATAATGCTTTCCTGCCATCCTTCAGTTGGCCATGACAGACTTTCAATGGAGTTAAACTGCGTCCTCTTTCACTGTATAGCGTGAGAGATCTATCCTTCGGTTGGCTGAGAGTTGAGTGATGAGGTCGTGACGTTCAGGTGAGGCCGTGATGAATGGAGGAAGGAGATCTAACTTAAAGATGAGCAATAAATAGCTGATAGGAAGAAGCCGCTGGGACACTTTCTGACAAGCCCTGGTCTTTTTCCCTAAAAGATCTCAAAGACGATCGATCTGTGTGACTCTAGGGTCACCATTAACTTCTTCCACCTTCCCCGTTGCTCTACGCAGAGGCGAGCAGAACCATGATGACGAGTTCCGCTGGCCATCCATTAAAACCTCCTTTGCTAGACTGAAGAAGCAATCAAAGCCCGGCGCGCCCCAGTTTAATTCGATGGAGAGTACAAACTTTCGAAATTGTGAAAGTAGGGTCATACGCGACTCCGCTTGTACGCATCTAGGCAGTGCGAGACTAGGTCGAAGAATCGTTATCTAAGATTAAAACGTTAGCCTGAGAGATAGAGGTGAAAGACATGCAAAAGAGTAGCATGTCGACTCCTTAGTAATACTCGGTTTTTAGGATCAAAAAACTCGGGTCATATGCGTACTAAACGTGGAAATCGCCAACAAACATTTCTTCAAAACTTAAGATCAATTACCATTGAGGAAACAAGAAAGTTAGATTACTGTCAAGTTTTTGTTTTAATCAACACTTGAAATCGTGAGTCGATTGCTTTATAATGAGCTTAATGGTGTTCAACTGTTCCTGCAATAAATGCGTCAACGCGTTTTGAACAATTAAAATAAACTTGTTCGTTACTGGATTACGAGTTGGCCCACTTAACCTATCCAAACACACCAAACAAATTTCACTGGCAAGAACCAGAGCTAACCAAGTCCAGCACTTCTTCAATATCGTTGAAAATTAGCTTCATTCCTCTCTCTCTCTCTCTCTCTCTCTCTCTCTCTCTCACTCTCTCTTATTTTTTAGTACAGCAAACAAAGATGGCATTTACATATCAGGTCAAGAACTCTGGAAGTGTTGATGAAATAATTATTCATTAACACTACTTTCTCAGAGATTCCATTCAGCCCTTACATGGAGCTCAAACAATCTTCAAAATTGGTCGTCGGCTAAGAAAGCAGCGACTCTTTCCTCTTTGTGATGCTTAAAGATATACATTAAAAAAATAGGTATAGATACAGAAGCTGCAACGTGCACAAAGTAGATTTCCCATCACCACCTTCGCACTAATGATGTGAGCAGCTGCACTAGATAGAATGGCATCATGTCAAACTAACCATCTCAGTATATAACTAAATACACTTCCAATTGTTCAACTATGAGCAACAGGAAAAATTTGCCACTTGTTCCCAACACGAGCTGTTTATCGATGAAAATGTTACCACAATCTAAGCATTTTATGATCATAAATTTGAGATCTCCAAGTTTGTAGAAGATCGACCATTAAAGGTTTTAACTTTCAACACCAACGAAGACACCATTACAATATCCACCAGAATTAATAAACAAGGCTTTTAACATGCTGATCAGAGTTCAAAGAGGAGGTTCGTACCTCAAAGAGTTCAAATGGGCTTCCACGTCTATAGACATCGCTCTTCTTGCTCTTATCATTTGGGAGAACACTAAGTAACAGCGTCCTCCAGCCAATAAGCAAAACACCAGTGCTTCCCATTGTAACTAAGATAAAATTGTAAGGAGGAATGTGGCTTGATAACACAGCCCTTATAGCTATTCCAAGCTGCCAACATTACGCCACAAAATTGTAAATGTCAAGCTCTAATAATATGCACATTTAACAGAACTTTCGCATTTCATCCTACCCATCAACATTCATCGTCAAGAGAGAAGAATGAGAACCATGCAAGTTGCAATTTGGTCTTGCAGAAAAAATAAACAAATAGAGAACAGAAGAGAAAGACAGCTCCTATATCTGTACTGAAATTATATCACCCCGCATCTCTATGACAGGCAAATATCACTTCAATAATTTTTGGGCAGAGCAGACTTTTATACTTCTCGTGATAAGATGGTAAAGAGGACGAAACAGAAAGTTATTCCTTATTGATGCACTAATCAGACTCCAAAGGTTAACCATAATCACAAAAATCATGAAGGATAGTATTAGCGGCAAGCTAATCATTTCCATGTGAAGAGCTATGGAAATGGTTATGAATAGAAGAGGAAAGTACGAGTTAACCAGCAACTCAGAGTTTGAACTTACTGGAATTCCCACAGCCCATGATTTGGTAGTAGAGAGGACTGCCTTAGACAGACCATTCTCGCCACGACCATCACCAGCATAGCCCCCGAGGAAGTAAGCACCCAAAAACCAGCCTGTTAAAACAAACAATCAGGTTTTTAAGGTCATTAACTCTCTAAAAGCAGTGGCAATTGTAAACTATTTACTCCACACTTCCCCAACATGCAGCACATCGCCTCAGCTAAACAGAAAGAGAGCCTCTAAAACATTCTCGAGGATACATTTTTACGCTTCTCGCATTGTTAGGAAGAATTATTATGATTGACAATAATGGAGCTGAAGAAATAGGTGTGAACAAAATAATTTTCCTTCCTGTTACTTGGAAGGGAAGGAGGTGAAGCTAAAAAATGTGAACATTTTGATTTTGCTTTATATGGGAAGTAGAAGGATAATGAAAGGAAAGAAAACGAGTTCAGAAAACATGACACCTTTTCACTTTGAGTTGCAGTTCAAGTAAAATCCAAATGCACACATCTCATCATTCTATCACTATGAATGAAAACAATTTGTATCAGCACTAGACAGAGTAAAAATGGCTATTTAATATTGCTTTACAAATATTAGAACATAACGACTTGTAACATTAAAGATTTTTATCAGGTGATCACTAGATACATTTTAAGGAAAGCAATGACATTTATATATCCAGTACATGTTAAGATTACTTTGGCTAACTTTAGAGCGGCTATTTTCAAGGTTCTATTATTAAATAGGATAAAACAATCATCCTCTCTGCCATTCAAGGTTTACAAGAAAAGGGAAAATGTCTCATTGTCCATCTCATTTCAAAACAAAGTAAAAACCAAATTCTTGACACCTTCATCCCCTTCACTTTCTCTAATCATACTCTTCACCTCCTCTTTCTTTACCTCCATTCTCATCACCTCTTACAACTTCGAAACAAGTGGACATGTAATTTTCCAATCACTCGACTTTTCTCCCTAATTCGGGAGTGATCAGCATATGTAAGCCCAAGGCAAAAACAATCGACACCTAGTTTCCACAAGTCAATTTCCATTACTCCCCCAACAAAGAGAAAAACCAATCACTCGCCCATTTTACTTTCTTCACTCTTCCGCGACCCAACTCTTCCACACATTCAAACATAATGTTAAGTTCCCCAAGCGTATCAGAAACAAATTCATGCTCACACAAGATCGAATTTTTCCCAATTCTCTCCTACCATGAACATGAAAAATTGGAGCATTGCTTAACGTAAACATTGCTGAAGAAAACCTGAACTTGCGACTGAATGGGGAATGTTTAAACATACCGGCAACAAAAGGGTCGGCGGTTCGCAGAGTCTCGAGGTCGAAAACCGGGAACCCATGACTGAACCTACCAATTGCAGCGAACACAAGCAAAGCCACGACATCCCCACCAGCAAGCAACCCGACCCGTCTGAAACAAAACGACCCCACACAAACAAAGCACACGAAATTAAACTCTCCAAAACTCACCCCAAAAGAGGCACCCAACAAAACAGACGAGCAATTTCCAACAGCAAGAAAAAAAAAACGAAGATTCACAACGGACCCCCATTTCTTCAAACGGGAGGCGGGGCTCGGCTTCTCCAATTGGATGACGCCCTCGAGGGGAACGCCCTCCCGACCCGCGAAGACGGCGCCGCCGCCGCCGACGCCATCGAACGGGGGAGGGGGAGCTAGCGGGGCCTCCCTGGCAGCCGGAGGGACCGCGTCGAGGGCGTCGTCGGCCTTGGCGAGGGCGAGCCTGGAGGAGGAGGAGGAGGGGGGCCTCGAGGGGTGGGCCCGGGAGAAGAAGTTGGGCCGGCGGTTGGAGAAGAGAGGGGGGCGAGGGGCGGCGAAGGCGATGGAGGCGGCGGAGGAGGAGGGAGAAGAAGCGGTGGAGGAGCAGCAGCAGCTCTTGAAGGACAGAGCCCCGGTCGGAGCTTGGCTTAGCAGCAGCATCTCCTCCGCGTCCTCTGAAGGCGCTCTCTGCGTTTCTGCGGTGGCGGTGGTCTCTGCGTTTTTGCGGGTTCCTCCGCCTTCAGAGGTAAGGACGACACCAATCCATGGCTAACATCGATGTCGTTTCCGAGGCGAGGAATATATCTTGAGCTGTCTTTTTCTTTCTTGTCGTTTAATTGGTAGAGATAAACATATTGAAAATCTCAAAACTTATCGCGAAAATCTAATTGGATCTTAAAATTTTTAAAAACAGTGCATTAAGATTTTAAAACTTTTCACGAAAGTAAAATCGAGTCCTAAAATTTTCAAAAATACAATCAAGTCCTAAAATTTATCAGATTTGTCTAATAAAATCTTTCTGTTGATTGTACATTTTAAAAGTTTTAGGACTCGATTGTACTTTCATGATAAGTTGTAGGACTCGATTGTACTTTCGTGACAAGTTTTAAGATTTGATTACACTAAAGCTTTGTTCGTTTCACTTAAAATAACTTTCAGGAAAATGTTTTTTGGATTTTCCGTCGTTCGATCCATGAAAATTAAACTAATCAAGAAAAACATTTGTATTCGTTAGAAAAAACACCTTTAAAATTGAGGAAAATGTTTTCCGCTTTTCCATCGCCTGTCTTTCACCTCTATACCAAGAATTTTGTTTTCACCAAACACCTTTTCCTTTTTATTTTTATTTTTCTTTTTATTTTTCTTTTTTATAAATGGAGTTTTAAAAAAAATTTATGTTTTCCTTTTTTTTCTTTTTCTTTTTGCTTCTTCCTCAACTAGTCGCCGGCAAGCTTAAGCCCCACTGGATCCAATGAGCTAGGCAAGGCTCAAGCCTCGCCCGAGATCGCAGAAGGTCAGAGGCTACCTCGCGCAACTCACCGAATTTGGCAAGGCTTGAGCTCAACCTTGTCGGAATCTAGTGAGCTCGCCGATCGCTGGCGACCGACCAAGGAAGAAAAAATCAACTTTCTTGGTAATTTTCTCCAAAAAATCAAATCATATATCAAATGGCGGAAAATATTTTCTAGATTATTTTCAGCTTTCAACCAAACAGCGGAAAATATTTGCCCTTTTCCTGAAAAATATCTTAGTTGAAAATATTTTCCAAAAACGTCATATTTTTCGTAAAACAAACGTAGCCTAAGTTTCTAATTACTAAAACAAAAGCCAAATGTAAGTTAACGAAATTGAAAAGCTAGACCCAGCTCATGATGATCTCACATTGATCCCACGAATGAAAATCCCCACCTATATATTTATGTAAGACCACCGTCAACATAATCAGGAGATTAGGAATCCGCAAAGAGTGAATGATTTAAAATACATTTTTCTAAAAATAATCGCTCATTCGTCAATAAAAAATATTTTCATTATCGATAGCAATTTATGTCTAAATATTTTCGTGGTCGATGAAAATATATTCGTTTATTCATTTTTGTAAGCAAGACAAGCGATTATTTTCAAATCATTAATTTTATGCGGAACAAGCCGAGTCTAGAATTCCTTATAAAATTAGAAAATATGTGGAACTGTAGAATGACCTGTTGCGGCCGCCTGTTAAGCTTTGATACATGCTGGGCCTATTGGGCCACAATTTTGGACAACTCAACTCATGTGCCGGGCTCTGCTCCCAGACACCAACAATGCTTCAGCTTTTTAGCCGGGTTTGTGTTGCCGGGCCTTTGTTTTTAAACGGGCAATTACCTTCCCAGCGTCCAACATTTCACGAGCATGAAGCATGGTAGCCTTCTTCACATTCAGATGCGCTAGCCGAGGGGTTGCGGTGACGAGGTCGCCCATCCCGGATCTCGGCTCTAGGACCGGTGCTCAGGCGAAGGTCTCGTGGTAGTAGCTGTAGGTGAAATCGAATATCCAGCAACTAGTGAGGGACTCTCGAGCTAGTATTCTGAAAAGAATTGCAATAGCTAATCGCCCATTTCTATCCTTTCTATTAGTATGGAAGAAGTCTTAACTCATGAATTTTCACATCATATCTTTTATTTTGACGTCACAACAGCGATTCCCACTTTGTATGAAGATAGACGTTTTTTTTTCCAAACGACCATGAATTTGGGCATATAGAAGCTAGAACGGAATCGTTTCTCCGATGTAGATGTAGAACGCTTTTCTGCACACGCGAGAGATTCTATGTCTAGTTTTCTAGTGCTTTTAGGCAGAATTGGGGAGGTGGTGGAAGCCCATTTATAGTGGAACCCATCTTTTGTACTTGAATGACCATATTATCACTAAAGTTTACATGCCCTATTACATGTTGAAGTCAAATTCTTTGTTTTTCCTAACTTGTCAACATCTAGCTCTTATGAAGGCATTGCTTATATTCCTCCCCTAAATATTCATCACCATACAACTCTTCCTCTCTTGATTACACCGGCTCCAAGATGTTGGTTCTAATTCCCCCTTTTCAAGATACTAGCCTAGAATCTTGCCATCACTTAACCTTATAATAATGAAAAGAACCAATCTACGTATGCTTTGGGACATGACAACTTTAAAAGATTCTTGGTCGTCGTCGACGATTGGATCAGGAGGAGAAAACCCCAAAATGCAGAGCTGGAAGCAAAGGTTAGAGACTCAATCCCAAGATCCCCTCACATGCCGGGGTTGCAGCTCAGTGCTAGAAGTAGAAATTTATTTTTTGAAGATTTATAATAATCAAACCACTTCTTATTATCCATCAATATAATGGCCCCGAGCCCTATGAGCGCGAATATTCGAGAAATGCGCCGGTTTTACTTATATGTTTTCTCAGGAATATGTGAACCCAAGGATCCACACATTAATCATTTCTATAATCAATCCTTTTCCCCGTTATTTAACTCGCTGCATGTGACCTAAGCTTTGAATAATGCCATGTTGAACGAGCCGGGTGATGAGCGCTCATATTATACACCATTATCTTAACCAAATCTGAAAGGAATATGTAATATGGCTCCCTTCACGTAAAACCATGTGGGAGATTACTTAATCAATAGGAATTTATCTCAGATAAGCTAAATCTTGATACGGGCTTCGCGAGAATCCCCGAAATGCCCCCAATGAGGGGATTAAACAATGGGAAAGGCGGTGGCGAAATCGACTTTTCGGGCGCCCTAAGAACGATTTGAAAATCATATCGAGGGGTGCCCAAAAAGAGGGTTTGGCTGGGGGGGGGGGGTGACCAATTGACTACACCGGGAGAAGCATCTCTAGGTGTTATAGAATTGATTCGTCTCTCTCTCTCTCGGGCTTACCAAATCTTGAACGACTAATCTTTGTCATCTTCTCGTTGCCAAAAACACTAGCCAAACCACATAATACCCAGAGCTTGGTAAGTCTCGATAAAAGCTTGTGTGTCTAAAGTTATTTTAATGTGACATACTATACTTTATTGATGTTTTTTATTTGGTTGATGCGTGGGGTTTTGAGCCGGTGCCAATGGATGTCATGAGTGGAACCCAAACTCCGACGAAACTCCTCATAATTTAATGGCTCATGTTGATATCGAAACCCTCACGCAAAAGATTGACCTACAAGCGACGTAGACAAGTTTCTTGGGGTTCGATCCGAAGGCCCTTTTCTCATGCGCTACGTGGTAAAAGTTTGCTGCCTTGCGAGAGCTACCCTTAAATTAACATTAATAAATGTTATCTCCTTCTCATGTAGTGTATATTTTTCACTTTTCAAAGATGATGTTGTGTTAGTGAAAACGGTGTAGCCCTTCAGAAGTAGCGGAGTACATACTTGTTTAACAAAGACAAGAGTATGAAGATTTTCTTGTCGTGTATATACTGATCGTTCTACTTCTCTGTGACCCTATTTTATGCATGGTTTCTCGTTGATTTTTTTTCATTGATAGTTGGAGTTTGCTTTAGGTTTCTGATTTAGCATTGTTGAGATCAAAACCGGTTGTTAATGAGCTTGAGTTTTTTTGGAGAATAGCGAAAAGTGCGGTGGACCCAATGTCAAAATGGGAACTCTAAATTTTATCCAGTCTATCGAAAACCGATTTCCATTTGACTAATCGCGGGGGAACTTTCCATCTGAGTCCCAAAGCCGTGTTTTAGTATGTAATGGTCTAGTATATGAGTTGGCTTCTACGCGCTAAACTAAGTTCGTTTTCTAGATACGAATTAGAGGCCGACTATCCGATCCGAGATTAGAAGACTTATAAGTAATTACTTTCTAATGATCTATCTTAAGGAGCCATATCGAGTAAGAAACGAAAGAATCGCAGACCTTACACGTCTCAAGAAGCATGATGAACCAAGTTCTCGAGGTTGTCCAAGCGCCACAAATCTCAAGCTTCTTCTTTTTTCACTATGAAAAGATTTCCTCTTTCATGTCGAGGCAAGGGTTGGTCAAAGTTCTTAGTCACGTTTGTCTTCTTTTTTTCATTTCGTTTTTTGTATTTTCTCCCGGAAAAAGAAAACATTATCTCGTTATAGAGGCTTTGAGAAGCAACAACAATTTAATGCTTCCGTTTGGAGGAAATGAAAGGCAACACGTTGACCTCCACATGCTTCGGTGTACAGAGTACGAAATTATTGAAGGAAAAATGGCCATGGCAGTTCAGAACAACCTTTCACAGCATGACTATTGCCCATGCCCTCCGAATCATCTAATCTGAAACATTATTCCTGAGTGAGCTAGAGAAGGAAATAGGAGAGAATCAACATGACTTTTTGCAGGGACATATTCTTCAAATTAATAATGACATCACACTCAAAATGACGCCAACATACTCAACGGACTTGTTTAAATTGAATAATATTTCGACGGTTCAATTCAATCCCGTCCTCGATCAGGAAACTATTTGTCTCTATTTCTATGTTAGTCGTTTCATTCTTTTTCTCATTGCGAAATAATTAAGTGACTGCCCTCAATTCACTGTGAGATTAACACCTTATTTTAGATCAATAAAACAGAAAATAAATAATTATAAATTGTTGTAGGATCTATTCTTTCGAAAATTTGTGACTAATAATGTACTATTATTCTCACAGTGGCCCAAAAATTATTATGCTAGCAAAATTCTTTCTTGTTTTAGGCTCATTTACAACTTCTTTCACGAGGCAATACTCAAAACCCTGCTCAATATATATATCTGTCCATGAATTTTAAACACGA